TTAAAGCTATAGTTATTAAATTTTTAACATTCTTTGTATGAATCCTTAACATAGTGGCAAATCCTTTGATGATAAACATTATTGGAATACGAGAAGAATATTATATATTAATTCTAAGTTGAAACCCTTAAAATCGTCAAGATCCTTATTTATACTTGCCCATTCTTGAATATCTTGAATACAGTAACTAAAGTGTGCGACTAATTTAAGAACGGCTGATCTATTTTGTGTTTGAATGAACGGTTTTACTAAAACACACCACTGGTGTTCAACACCACAATGCTCTTCACCCATTAAATTAAATAGCTGTAGTGTAACTTAAAGATATAACATAAAATTTTAAAGAAAATAATAATAATTCAAAATTTTACTAATACCCACTTTTTTACTTCTAATCAAAAAATTTCTTACAAAATTTTACTATATGCTATGCCTTACCCTAATAACTACACTCTAACTATAATTTTATTTATATATTTAAAAATATTTAATATTTATTGTTGTTTTTTTATGTTGCACAAAAACACTGGTGTTGAACACCAGTGGTGTGTTTTAGTAAAACCGTTGAACGAATGCTAAAAATCCCAGAATTGATTTAAGACAAAATTATCGAAAACGGATCAAGTAGCGAAAATCGTATTTTCAAATTATTATGCCCTTATCGTTATTTGATTCAATATCTTATCGAATGAACGTTTGAACAATAAAGGCAAAATGATTTATATGCAAGTAAATACCGGTAATATTGGTTTGAATTTTCCCGAATTTGCCCGATCGGAAAATGTCGAAGGGTGATTTTCCTAGCAAAGATCCAAATGTTCGAAACATTAATTATCGCGGCTGATGCTGAAATTGACTAATGAGGAAATATAAGCCCTGCTAAACCCACATGCACCGATACACTTTAATTATCAATTCTAGCCCAAAATCTTAAAAAAAGTGGAAAAAAACACCCCAAAAATTTTTTAAAATTTCATATCCAAATAAGTCCAAATTTCAGCGTCAGTCGATTTCAGCATCAGCCGCGACATTAATTTTCGTGCATTTCAAATTACTATGATCGCCAATCACGCAAAAATCTCTAGGATTTCTTTAGATTCATCATTTTTTAAATATTGCTACTTAAGAATTTACAATTCCAAAAATTCCTTGTCAAATTTCGATTTTTTATTACAGTAAAACCCTGCAATAGTCACATGCTAAAATTAGACATTCTATGCGCCTATTGCGAGATTTTGACTAAAGCGAGCAAGAATTTATATATAATGTATATAGATAGATAAAAGAATCAAGGTGACTATAGCGGGATTGTGACAAATGCGGATGTGACTTTTGCGGGGTTTTATAACTTGTAATTGTTTTATCAAGCAATACTAAATTTTTTTAACATTTTTCATCTAAATTTTTCCAAAGTTCAAATAAATCTATCCCGTCCATTTTTAATGCTCGAAGCTATTTTCAAATTCTATAAGCAAGTAGGAAATTGGCTGGGCTGTTAGTGAGAAATCCTTAATCAAAAGGTTTAAATAATTTAATATTAAAAACTTTATATATAAAATGCACACTAGTATTTGCCGGTATTACGAAGATCAATATGGTATAATACGGGCCGAATTTTAAAATCGTATCTGGTGTTATATATATTAGCGTTAGGGTTAGGAATTATAGCTAATCAATATAGTATGGTTAAAATCGTACTATACTGATCTGGTGTTATATATATTAGCGTTAGGGTTAGGAATTATAGCTAATCAGTATAGTATAGTTAAAATCGTACCATACTGGTCTGGTGTTATATATATTAGCGTCAGGGTTAGGAATCATAGCTGATCCTATGTCAATTGTCATTGATTTACCAAGTTTATAATTTTTAGCTGAATTAACATTCATTATATTATTAATTGACAATAAATAAATAAATAAATAAATAAATAAAATTTCAAATTATACAGGATCAGTAGTATTTTTTTTCTCTTCTTTGACATTAACTGTGTTCCAATGATGACTTGGAAATACCGATTCATATGTACTACGGACAGCACTATTCAGAACGAATCCACTTACAAATAACAAAATTGATGATAAATAGCCTTCATCACAATATAGGAAAAAACATATATATCCTACATGTAAATATAATTGAAATAATATAGGATATGCGAGTGCATATGGTGCTGCACGATCATCTTTAAAAATGCATTGGAGAATAAGAAATAATGGTATAGTTAATAAAGGTGAAAGAAGGCTTATCCATTGAAACAAAAACATGTATCCGGTAGATGGAAAATGGTCTTTGAAATAGGCTTGAATGATTAATTGAACAACATAAATTAAAAGGAAAGAACCAGAAATAATAAAACCAATAACAACTTCCCAACACTCTGAAGCGTGACTAGCTAAAATACAACTAAGAACAAATGAAGAACAACAAACATACATAATCTTCGAACAAATGTAAATTAATCTAGGTAATTCTTCGTTATTGTCCAAGAAGAATTTGATTGTCATAAATGTCATAAAAGCTACTAATATACTAAGTTGTATGCACGCTGATGTTCCATTGGTTAAAAATCTTTTGATTTTAGCTGAAAATGATTTATCATCGACTAAAGGTGTTGAAAAGCAAGTAAGAATTAAGCCGGCGGAGAAGGATAAATAATTACCGAAAGCAACATGTGATACACTATGAGTTATATTAGCACATAGGGTAGAAGCAAAAGATACTTCAATAAATAACAATAAAACCAATACATATTTAATCATGTTTATGAATTAATGAGTGGAATGACAAAAGGTGTTGTTACGATATTTCCTGCAATCTATCGAGATTACAGCAAATTTGATGATGAGTACCGAGTGTTTTATTATTTAAAATATTTTGCAGTGGATATCAGTGTTTTTAAATACAAGTTTTGCTTTACACAAGTTTTAGATAGTTTGGGCTGTCAGGATTCTAATTTATGCAACTAATAATTGTATTTTTAGGGCTGTTAAAAAGCTTATTGGAGTTGGTTTTTGAGTTGACTTAGCAAGAACTTTTTGAACTCAAACCTACTCTTAAGCAAAGTTTTTACTGCTTAATTATGTATAGTTATGTATAGTTATGTATAGTTATGCAAGGGGTGCATGAAAATACGCAAAAGGTGCATAAAAATATAAAAGGGTGCATAAAAATATGTAAGAGATGCATAAAATATACAAAGAATACATTGCATAATATATACATGAGCCAAATTTGAAACTTGGCTTGACTTAACTTTTAAGTTGAGTTGAGCAAACTTTATTGTTCTTATTTGGAAAAGTTACATTGATTGACAATAGGGCTGTTAAAAGACCGATCCTATCAGTCCAGACTCCTCAACATATAATAATAATACATGATTTACTGCCCCTTTTATAGTATAGAAACGCAGATCGGACGATTCTTTTTCGTTCGATTACACAAATCAAAAGCTGAGTTATATCTCAGAAGCTGAGTTATATGTTAATAAGCTAAGCATAGCGAACTTTTATTGTGATTGGCTGATTTTTGTAGATCATCTCGTCATACTAAAGTATTATTAAAGTAA